CATGATGACAAGATACTGTACATAGAAGACCCCAAAAACTCCACCAAAAGACTCCTAGAGTTAATAAGCAAATCAGTTGAATGCCTGGATAAAAAGTCAATACTCAAAAATGAATATCATTGTTGTACACAAACAACAAACTTATTGAGAGAAAAATTAGGGAAACCACACCTTTCACAATGGCATCCAAAAATATGAAATATTTAGCAGTCAATCTAACAAAGGAAATAAAAGATTTGTATACTGAAAACATGAAATATTTAACAATAAATCTGACAAAGGAAATAAAAGATTTATGTATTGAAAATTACAGTACTCTGAAAAAGAAAATTGAAGAGGATATCAGAAAATGGAAAGATATCCTTTGCTCATGGATAGGAAGAACCAGTATAGTGAAAATGGCCATACTTCCAAAACTCTTATACAGATTTAATGCAATCCCGTTCAAAATACCATTAACACACCTCACAGAAGTAGAGAAAATGTTCCTAAAATTCATCTGGAGCCAGAAAAGACCTAGAATAGCAAAGGCAATCCTGGGCAACAAAGACAAGTAAGGAGACATCATAATCCCTGACTTGAAATTGTACTACTAAGCCACTGTTATAAAATCAGCATAGCACTGGCAAAAAAAAATAGACCTGAGAACCAGTGGGACAGATTAGAACATGTGGACACAACTACAGCCACACTCAGCCACCTTATTTTTGACAAAGCAGCCAAACATGTTCACTGGAAGAAAGACAGCCTCTTTAATAAATGGTGCTGGGAAAACTGACTCTCTGCATGCTGAAGACTAAAATTAGACCCATGTCTCTCACCATGCACTAAACTAAAGTCAGAATGGATCAAAGATTTAAATTCTAAAGCAGAAACACTAAATCTACTAGAAGAGAAATTAGGTCGAAATCTTGAAGACATGGTGGTAGGCACAGTCTTGATGAACAAAACCCAAACTGTATGGGAAATACTCCAAAGAATCAACAACTGGGATCTCTTCCTATTAAAAAGCTTTTGTATTTCAAAAGAAATCACCAATAGAGTGAAAAGACAATCCACAAAATGGAAAAACATTTTAGCTAACTATCCCTCAGACAAAGGACTTATATCTACAACATGAAAAGGAAAAACTAAAACCTCCCAAAATCAAAGACTCAATCCAAAAAAGGGCATCTGAGATGAATACACACTTCTCAAAGGAAGAAATACAAATAGCAAATAAATATATGGAAAAAAATGTCCAACATCATTGGTCATTTGAGAGATGCAAATTAAAACAACACTGAGATTTCATCTCGCCAGAGTAAGAATGGCTATCATCAAGAAACCAACCAACAA